CAATGCATCTTTTCCCCGAAGAATGGCACGCAGAGCAGCACAATCATTGATCCTAATGATGTATTGATCACAAAGTTGCCCATCTCTCTCTGAAGGCATGAACTTGCATGAACTGCTCGAATCACTTGATGCACAAACGTTTGTATCTATTCTTCATTGCCATGATAAGTTTTCCCGAATTCATACCGTGAGGTTAACAATGATTTTCTAATTTCCAACGTTTCCAGTTTCGTCACCAACTCTTCGTACAAAACGTACTCAGGCAGTTCATGTGCTGTTAATTCCTCCATGGTCTTGTAAATCTTCGATGGCAGAGTAGCAAGCAAGCACGCTACGTGTCGATCGGAAGTAATATTGTTCATCACAAAAAAAAGTCAACTGCCGATTAAATCGCTTTGGCTGTCCATCTTTATATTGCGGAGATAATAGACATGCCCAGTTAGCTTGTTGTTCAACGCATTTAGAGGCCATTTTGTTTTTAATATTTTTATTACTTATCAACAATCTCAACGTTTTTACAACAAATTTGTTCACTATATATAGTATTTAAAAATTCAACTTGTGAATCTTCTCAACAAAAAGTGGTCGTTATACAAAATGTTATAATAATTAAAATATGCAACGTGTGACTTTTGTCAATAATTAGCAAAGCTATTTATTGACAAATTATTGACGCACATTAAAATCACAACAATTTGATAAATTTAAAATAAAGAACTTTTAATAATTTAATAAATTTAAATCAAGTTTCATAACTAAAAAATGAACTGAGTAGCACTTTTGTTTTATAGTTTTTTTAAAGTTTCAATTTTTTAAGCTTTATTTTATCAGGGTACATAGTTCCATCGTTTTGCAGAAGGCACCAAATAATAATAGCTATTTCTGGAGATTAGGGAATTATTTTGGGAGCTTGCATGTCGTTAATATAGTTTATTTGAAAATCAGATGATTTTGCGTGACTTGTTTTGAAAAAATGACAATGATCTATTAAAAGTATTGATAGTGAATTTTGTATTCCACTTTTACAGGGATTATCTCTTTCCGGATTTTTCCTGAATTCTGGATATTTTACTCGACTTTTAGTTTTTCCAGATATCCAAAGTGCTTTTCATACATACATGTTTAGGTGTATATTTTTGTAATGTATTTATTTTCAAGCTTTTTCAATCATCACTCATAATTAAGAAAAAAAAAATGGAAACAACTCAACTAAAAGCAAAATCAAGTGTAAAATAGAGGAAAATATATTCTGGGTTTTTTCCGGATATTTTACCTAAACAATTTTCCATATTTTTATAATATGACCTAGATGATCTATACTTTTAACCAACGTTTTTGTTGTTGTCTGTTTTACTAACAATTTCATGATTGCTAATATAGAAAAGATTAGTAGCTGTCATTAATGGTTTGTACGAGTAAGTGACCAGGGCCCCGACTAAAAGTAAGACTTTTTTCAAACTCGGCCGCAGCTAAACTATAAGATTTAGCAGGGGTTGATGGCCGGGCTAGAAAAAAATTTATTATACTTTATATATTATAACTTTATGCTTACATTTACTATTTATTAAATACTGGCATATATTTATATATTTTCAAACTCTAATTTACTTCCAACAAGATTGCAAGCAACCACTATTAAGTTATGAGTTACTTTAAAATAGAGAATAAGTAAAAATACTAGGAAATGGTTAACTGAAGACTTTAAAAGTTGTAGGGTGTATATAAAAGAAAAACATGGAGATGACTAGTACTTATTAGGTTTTTTGGTAAGGATATTTTCCCTCAAATTTCAAGGAAAAAAACTGGATTAATAAAAGTTTTTATAGCATGAAGGGACATAAAGCTAATTCTAGAATTTTTACAGTCAATATGACCAGATTCAAGATCGGCTGTCTGTTCTAAGCAATTGAAAAGAGAAGGCTTTTTGTCAAGACAGGAGTATAAAGTTGAGTCATCAGCAAAAAGTGTTACTTTAGAAAAGTGTTAGATGTAAGGTTATCAGATAAAACATTAATATAGATAAAAAACAAAACAGGTTCAAAAATAGAACCTTAAGGTACCCCAGAAGTTACTGGAAATATAGAAGAGTGTTGGCTTTTGGAGAAGACCAGCATGCCAAACTTTGTCAAAAGCTTTAGAAATATCAAGAGCAATAGCCTTAGCTTCTCTGCGTCGAAAAAAACAACAGGACTTCATATATAACCTAATACAGTTTATAGATCTGGTGAACAGTAAAAAAAACAGTAAAAGAATGCTGCCATAAATTGAAAACACAAAGTATGTTGAAGAAAAAAGTATTAAATGGTAAAAGAAAGTAAAAAGTGCTACACAAATTTTTTATTCTAAATATCTATTTAACATTAAAAAAAGTGTAGCTTTTTTATGTTGAACAAATATTTAGAATAAGAATAACTTACATAATTTACAGTAAAAAGATGTTGAATAATAAACAAGTAAGAATAAGTTTTGGTTTATCGTAATAGAGATGATAGCTTGTTTG